TGTAGACTGGAACAAATAGCTCAAGACGGAAGATCTGGCTGTGCAGTGCTTGCTGTCAAGACTCCTGAGATTCCTTATAGCGATAGTCTGGTCAGTTTTCGATTATCCAGATGGTAAGGGATTAAGAGATTGTGCTGACACTTAAATCCTTGAAGGGGATTATAAAATCTCGGCTAGCAACAGATAAATGGGAAAAGCGAAATCTCGACGGCGGATCTGATAAGCGCCGCAGTTTGCTGGTCAGTGTGCTGAGGCAAAAAAGTTAAGTTTCTTGTGCAACGCATAAACGGGGGAAGACTGAGAAGGATTCGAATTATCAAACTTTCGACTGCGTTTCTCGGTCCACCGACATGTGACCGATGGTGACCGCACTTGAGAGGAAATTCCCTTTGCAAGAGAATGAAGGGGCGTGAAAGGGGAAACAGTAGCAGAGGGTTTTACCGCATCTTACCTCTTTCAGGGTAAAGAAGTCTAGCTCGTATCAGCATACTGGAAGTTCAGCTCTCACCCTGTCTTTCTTTCTATCTCGCTCTTTCAAATCGCGTCTCTCGGTTGCTTGCCTTCCGCGGGTGGCGCTTCAGAGCACGAAACTGGGTCGCCGCCCTTTCCCATATCGGCCATGATACGTTGTCGCGCGATTCATATTATTCATCGATAGATGCATGCAATCCGGTGGCATCGCTTATCAGTGGATCAAGATCAGTTTGGCTGAGGAGGAGCAGTGCGAACAAGACACCCGCACTGAACTTCTGCAGTACAGTGCTCGCTCCTTTGGTACTACCAGCGCAGACTCGGTTACAAAGCATTCAGGCCAGCACTGTTCCGGCTCTGCACTGAAGGCCACTGCTGAAAGCAGCCTAACTTTACATGGTTTCGCTGGTGCGACGCTTCTTGCTATTCGCTCTGTACATTGTCGTCATATTTCTCTGCGTGCCACTTTCGCTGGCCATTTGGTGGATACGGCGAAAACTCGACGAGAAATCTGTGGCCGGCGATAAACAGGTACAGCCTG